TACTGCAAGGCTGCAGGAAAAAAAGTTTGACCTGTTTTAATGTTTTTACCACAAAAAGTGACAGGTATGAGAGGTGACAGGTCAATTAGCTGGGCTGATCATTCCATGGACACATGTATTGCAACATCACGTTGTATCATAAATAAATATCTTTCTGTTGATTAAAATAATAACAATTTGCAATTCTGACAAGTTCAGAGGTGATACTGCTTCTAGTCTGGGAACCACACTTAGAAAACCAGTTCACAGGGGCCAGCAGGTGGCCGGGTGGTTAAGATGCTGGACTCTCACATGGCTGACCGAGGTTCAAGTCCTGGACCTGGCAGCTTATTTTCTCATTTTCCCTTTCTATCTCTCTCTCTGGCTGAATTAAAAAATAACAGTAACAAATTAAGTAATAAATAATTCTTTAAAAAGATTAGAAAACCAGTGCCCTAAACCTTCTAGATACTCTTATTAATTTCTGTGGAGTTTTTCTTAAGAGTTCTGGGAACTGTAGGAGAAAACACCAACTTGGGGAGACTTAATTATCTCGTACTTATGCTGCTGCATTGCTCTTTGAAATCCTCCATCTGAGGTAAAATAGCTGTGTGGTTCAAAGCAATTTGCTGTTGCACTGTGTATCTGCAGCGTGGAATTCCAGATGCTCTTCTTCCTGCTCCACAGAAACAATGCCAGTGTGCTGCATGCAGTTCTACAGAGGGAAAGTGTCTATTTGATTCATGGAGTATAAGCCCATCTGAACTTTGTCTGGTGGGGGTGGGGAGCTTCTCCCTATGAGGTATAGGGGCTGCTTCACTGTGGTCTCTAGAAAAAGTCCCTTTGTTCCAGGTCTCACATCAGCCACTTCACAACCTGAAAAGTGTAAGCAAAATTCTGATATGTTCAAATTAAATAAATCTTACCTCAGCCTCTAAGTTTCCCAGAGCTATTTCATTCTATGCATGGCTCACATAATTCTTCGGTAAAGAGGAGGATGAAAGGACATTTGTGGAGTCTCAAAATGCCTGTTTCGGCGAGTTTTCTACCTCCTAGCAAAGCTTTTATTAGGGTACATAAATGATGAAGCCTAACAATATGATCTCAATATTGGTTTTAACTTTTCATACTGTGTCAGAGGCGCTAATAATAGCAATGAAATGACCAAAGAAGGGAAGATAATGTTCAAAGTGCACAGACAAAACAAAAAGCTCATCTCTCTTTTTTATTTTTTTAAGAGTTTTTTTCCAAGGCCAGCAGGTGACAGTGATGGTTGGGGGCACTGGATTCCCACATGGCTGACCATGGTTAGAGTCCCAGACTTGGTGGCTTGCTTTCTTACTTTCTCTCTTGCTTTCTCTCTCTTTCTCTAGTCAAACTGAAAAATGATGATAATAAATACATACATACATACATACATAATTCTTTTTAAAAAAAGATATATATATTTTTTTCTCCTTAGGGCTAGTGCACTTGCTGGAGAGGTTGAGAGATAGAGAGTGAGACAGAAAGTGAGAAATCACCCCCTGGGAATATGACCACACCGCAATCCCTTCTCCTCCATTCTGCTCCCAAGATCTTGGGCATCCACACATAAGAGCCCAGTGTGAGTTTCAAGCTACCGGGTCCGGGACTAGAACCATGGCTGGCCATGTGAGAGTCCAGCAATGTAACCACTTTGCTATTTGTTGGCTCTTCTCTATCTCTCATCTATCTGTTGTGATTTTTCAAGTTGCCGAGTTTGGGACTAGAATCACGATCAGCCATGTTGGAGTCGGTCACCTTAACCACCATGCCACCTGCTGGCCCCAAAACTCATCACTTAAAAATGGACAAATGACCACACAAATAAAATCCAGCACTTTCATTTAATGACAACAATTTACAAAGCTGTGCTAGTTGCTGAAAACCGAACTTTTAATAATACCTGTGGTTCTTGACCTCATGGAACCTCATTCATTGTCTTGCAGCAAAAACCAACAGAATGGTAAATGTGTAAAGAACGTTGTGATAAAAATGTAAGGAACACTGTGAAGAAATTCAGGATGCTATGGGAAACAGCCTTCTGGAGGGTGGAAAGGAGGGTATCAAGAAAAGTTTTCCCACTGCAAGTGACCTCCATTAAGCTTAGATTAGGAGGATAAGTCAGAGTGAGCCAGGCAAAGAGGCAAGAGAGTTACAAGCAGGGAGCAGGGCGTCGAGTGTTTCTGTAGACTGGAGCACACAAAACACAGAAGAGTGGGAAAGAAGAACCAGAATGTGCAGAGCCCTATAGGAAACTTCCCAGGATCAACAGGAAGCAAGAAGGTAACAAGATCATCTACACCTTTAAGGCGTATGCTCTGAGGCCATAAGGAAAGATCCTGGGTTCGTGTCCCAGGGCCTCCTTGAGCATCCCAAGAGTGCATTCATGTACCCATGATCCTGGCCAGCTTGGACTGCAGGGGGGATCACACCATCAAGATCCTATTGGGACTGCCTTTCTTTTTCTCTGTCTCTCCCTCATAGGAGAAATAAATAAGAGCTTAAAAAAAAGTCGCCCTCTGTAGTGGAAATAACGGGTTTGGAGGTATCCACTTAGGAAGCGATTGCTGTAACAAGGTGGCTGCAGAGTGACCGGGAGGTGCAAGAGGAAGGCACAGCAAGGTGTTTTCTACACAGTGAAAACTGGCTTCAGAGCATATTTTGTGTCGAATGCCTCTATTTTATAGTTGTGTGACACGCAGGCCAATTTGTAAGGGGCCTCAGTTTTGTTGCATGTTCAATAGGATTAAAATGTTCTCTACGTAACTCTTGAAAATACTATGGGAATCAAAAAATACTTAAGTAATCTGATTTGTACATATTACTTATACATTACTTTTTATTCTCCAAAACTCTTAGCTCCATTTCAATTTGTTTAAAAGCAAACTACATATCTCTGCACTGATCCCCCTCTTCCTCCCCCCACCCCCCCCAGTTAACATAATAGCTGTTATAACAAGCAGGAAAAAAAAGTCTATATGAGAACTAATAAGGAGATTTAACCAGTTGTTGCGAAACAAACAAAAAAGACAATTGTGCTCCTAGTCACAAGTCAGTATAACAAAATGTAGCTTTTAAAAGATACAATAAAAATAAGTTACCTAGAAATAAATCCAAGAAAAGATGTGTAAAAGCTGTAATAGGGACACCTTAAATAGTATTAGAAAATATTACCATCACAAACAAAATTATATCAACCCTCCCCAAACGAAATAAATGAAATTCCAATAAATCCCTAGAGGATTTTTTTTTTTACAGAACTTGACAAAATAATCCTAAAGTGTATAATATAGAAAGCCCAAAAAGATAACGTTGAATGAATAGAACAACAATGTAATACAGAAAAAAAGAATTAAATGTAGAAAAAAAAACACAGTATAAAAATCTTAAAATACAGAAACTAATACTACAATCGTCATGGCTTCATTCATGTGAAATAACAGTATAAAGACATGCACGGCAATATTAAACACCAAATTCAGAATAGAAGGTGCTGATGGGAATGGGCTCAGAGGGGCATAAAGAGACGTTTCAGGTCATGTGGAATCTGATTTCTTAAACTGAATGACGACACAAAGATATTTCTTATATCACTCCTAGTCATTAAACTTTTTTTGTATGCCTTAAATAGTCTACAAAACTACAGAAAAAAAAACAACCTACAGTCTTTTATTTGAAAACCATGATATTATAACATTATCTAGCTTAGTAGTTCTAGAATATCAATACAATAGCTATGTAGACCTCGTGGAGTAGCTGGTAGCAAACCAAACTGCAATGCGGAAACCACATGGCTGACCTTGGGTTCAGATCCTCTAGTCAGCCTAAAGACAATCTGGGTGCATGCACATGTACTCAAGAGCCTGAGGAGCTGGAGGGCCAGAGGAAGGGGATCACAGTGTGGCGAGACTCTGTTGAGAGTGCTCCTCTCTTCTCTTTCTCATGTGCAAGCATGTGCTATTATGAATAAAACTGATGGCCTTTTAAAAAATCTTAAGAGGTTATTGGGACCAGCAGTTAGCGTAATGGCTATGTCACTGGACTCCCATGTAGTCGACCACGGTTCACGTCCCGCACCCGGTGGCTTAAAACTCACGCCGGGCGCGTGTGCGTGCGTGTCCAAGATCCTGAGACGAGAATGGAGGAGAAGGGATTGTGGCGTGGCCATCCCCCCTGAGGGGTGATTTCTTGCTTTCTGTCTCTCTGCCTCTCTCTGACTGTCTGGCGAGCACATGCACCCTACAGCAAAAACCTCTCAAAACAAACAAACAAACAAATATATATATATATATATATATATATTAGAGGTTATTATGGAGCCAGGTGTGGTGCAGTAATAACACGACGACTCACATGGGAAAGGTCCTGGGTTCACATCTCAGAACCTCCCTGAGCATTCCCTGAGCGACCAAGCTGGCTGAGATTAAGGGTGGATCACGTGATAAGGACCCTGTTGGCAGTGCCTCCCCCTTCTCTTTTATGATCTTTCTCTCTCATGGAGGAAACAGACTTGACCCAAAAAATCAGGTGTATTAGTACCACATTAAAGAGATTTTTGCTGTAAGGCACAACAGAGAAACAGAAAGCGAGAAGTCACTCCGGGTGAGGGGGATAGCCACGCTGCAATTCCTTTTCCTCCATCCATTCTCCTCCCACAGACATGCCCAGCATGAGTTTCAAGTTGCTGAGTCCAGGATTCAAACCACAGTTGACAACACGGGAGTCCAGTGCCTTACCACTACGCCACCTACTGGCCCCCAGCAATGACAATTTTTATAACCTGCTTCTAAGAAATAAACTAGAGAAGCGAGGAGCTTCTCTTTAACTAGAAAGAATGAAGCTGCTAAAATGTATGAAACACTCAAGGGTACACACACAAATAAAATTTCCCCAAATATTTAGAATTACAAGTAAATAGAAAAAGATAATTCTGATGTTCCAAACAGCAGTAATCTGCTATGGGCCCATAAACATGTGAACATGAGGGACTCACTTACCAGGGCTTTCTACTCGCTTATAGTGGTAGGGATTGATGCAGACTTCCTTCTGCTTGGAACCAAAAGGGAACTCACAGCATTCCAGTGGCTTCAGTTCATGGTGGCTCTGCAGATCGGGCCAGCGCCACACACGGCAGTAAATGACGTGAGGCAGGCCCTTGCGGTGGGAAACCTGCAGCCTGCCATCCAGGGAGCGGGGGATAGTGACACAGTTACTGGGCTGCCCTGGGCAGCTCAAGGCCTTTTCCAGTTCCTCCATGGCGCCTTTCTTTTTCTTCAGTTTTTTCACCAAGGCATCGACAGCTTTCTCTGCCCACTTTTCTTCTTCATCACCCTGTTTCCATCCAAGCAGTCTCTTCACAGCTGGACTTGTGAAGGAAAATAAGCTCGTCACATTCATAATGGCTATACTAGATATATCCTCCCAAGAGATGGTGAAATAAAGGAGTCTCTAGATGCACACGGACAGCAGAAGAGATTCCGTGTGTTCACGTAGGATTCTCTTCAACTTCTTGGTTTGAGGCCCTGAAGAGCAGAAACTACCATTCCTCCTATATCAGGATAAAACCCAAAGCCTGTACCTGGAAGAGAAAAAAAAGAGGGAAAAAATGCTTCAAGTCGTCTCTATCACCCAATAACTTGAGAAACTACCATGTGTCAGGTACTATTTTCAGTGTTTTTATGTATCAGAGCAGTCCCCAAACCCCGGGCCACAGAATGGTATCATCTGTGGCCTGTTAGGAGCTGGTCATACAACAAGAGGTAGGCTGCGAGTGACTGAGTGAAGTTTCATCTGTATTTGCAGCTACTCCCCATTGCTGGCATTATGGCCTGAATTCTGCTTCCTGTCAGATCAATGGGAGTATTGGATTCTCACAGGCATTCAAACCCTCTCGTGAACTATACATGCAAGGGATCTAGGCTCTGCACTGCTTATGAGAATCTAATGCCTGATGATCTGGGGTGGAACTGAGGCAGTGATGCTAGTGCTGGGGAGTGGCTGCAAATACAGCATTATGATGAGTTGTATAATTATTTCATTATATATACAATGTAATGATAACAGAAAGAAAGTGCACAATAAATGTAATGCACTTGAATCATCCTGAAACCACACCCCACACACACACTGTGCCCCACCTCCCGCCTGTGGAAAAATTGTCTTCCACAAAACCAGACTTTGGTGCCCACAAGTCAAAGACCACTGTATTAGAGAATGCCAAGGACTGAATGGTGCTCCTCCCAAGTCGTATGTAGAAGCCCTTCACCCCCTAATGTGACTAGATTTGGTGAATAATTACTTATTTAGAGGTTAAATTACTTATTTAGAGGTCACATGAGTGGGGCCTAATCTGATAGGGTCAGTGATTCTAGTAAGAGGTAGAAAAAGACCACTCCCCTACCCCACCTCCACCCCTGTGCAGGCACTGAGGAAAGGCCAGGAAGACACTGAACCCAGGCAGCTATGACAAGTCAGAAGAGTGCCCTCTCCAGAACCTGAATTGTCTAGAACCTTGATCCTGGACTTTCCAGCCCCCAGAACTGTGAGAAAATAAATCTCTGTTGTTTAATACCCCATTCTATGCCACTTTATTTTGGCAAGCAGAACAGACTAGAACACAGTATCTGACTCTATTAATGATCCTTTGAGCTAGGCAACAAACCATTGTCATTTTACAAAGGAGCGAACTGAGATGCAGTATAAAACGAGTGTGCCACAGTTTGCCCAATTCTGAGACAGAAGCAACAGACACCTCAGTGCAAAAAAGTCTAAATTCTCAACAGATATTGTAATGTTTTATATTTAGAGTCACTTATAACCTCTAAAAACAGTGCATTTTCAACACACATCTCAATCAACAAAACTGAAAACAACAGGAAACAATAAAAGTACTTCAGTCTTAACATCTGTTTTTTGGTTTGTTCCTCAAGTTTTTTCTTTATGCTAAAGAAAAAAGGTTGTTATATTTCTACCATATAAGTGTATGAACATTTTAGGGTATTTTATTTAGTCTGGGCCTATAGGCTATAGAGCAAGTAAAGTAGGAAATTTATTTTCCACTTTTAAAAACTGGGTTTCGGAGACCAGAAGTTAGTGTAATAATGGCTATGTCGCTGGACTCCCACGTAGTCGACTGGAGCTCAAGGCCCTGACCCGGTGGCTTAAACTCATGCCAGGTGTGTGTGCATGCGTGCTCAAGATCCAGAGAGGAAAATGGAGAAGAAGGGATTGCATGGCCACTCCCCCCAGGGGGTGATCTCTCCCTCTCTCACTCTCTCTCTCTCTCTCTCTCTCTTTCTGGTGAGCGCACACACCCTATAGCAAAAATCTTTCAAAAAAAAAAGAAAACAAAAAAAAAAAATTTTAAAAATCTGGGTTTCCTTTTTTGTTTTCCTTTAAATTTTGCCAGAAGGTGTGCACATGCACAGGAGGTGGGGGTGGAGCAAGAAAGCGCCCCAATGGGGAATGGTCATTCCACAATCCCTTCTCCTCCACCTGTTTCCTTTCTAGATTTTGGATAGGCAGGACACACACAGGCTCAGCGTGTTTTTCAAGCCACAGTGTCCAGGTCTCAAACTATATAGTTAGTTATGCAGGATCCAGCCACCTTAACTACCAACTCCTGACCAGCTGGGTTTTAAAAAACAAAAAACAAACAAAATGTTTACTTACTTCTTTGTGCACAAGCAAGACAAACAGCGAGACAGACAGACAGCACCCAAGCAGGTGTGATATTCCACAAATCTGTCTTCACTATAGGAAAATGGCCAAAGGATTCGCTCTTATTTTCCTAGTTTTGGAGCCTAGCACTGTCTGATGCATAGCCAATTCCCCAATAAATGTTTGCTGAATGATTTAGCTCCCTCAAGAACCGTGTGGTATTTCCACTTTAATGCCTTAGGTGACAGGGAGTTAGCTGTCTTCTTTTTTAAGGAAAAGAGCTTCACCCGAATTGTCTAGTTCTTTTGAAGTTGGTATTTTGACAGAAAAGAAAAAACAAAACTATGCTATTATCAAAAGTCACAGTTAGTCAGAGTGTACCTATTGATATGATAATTTACCTTTTTACTAAAGGTTAATTTTGCAAAGGAACAAGAAAGACAACTTTCTAGACAGAATATATTTCTTATTCTGTATATCCTTTCTGTCTACTCCAAAACCAGCTTTTTTTCAATATTTTAACCAACAGCTTTTAGACAGAGGGGATACGTTTACATCAACATTACTTGGGGCTACTTTGAATTCTGATTGGAGCTCGTTATATAAGATAAATGTGTTGACGGGGTAGGAACCACACTTTCTGATCTTCGGGGTAACTCTTCAAATTGCCATTCCTTCAGAAAAAGCTTTCCTGAGTGCCTGTTAAGGGCCTGGCACCCTGTTGGGTGCAGGGATCACAGAGGCAAAGATGGCTATACCTTGAAGGGCCACATGCCAGTGGAAGAGCAGTGTGCAAACAACTAACTCCCAGAAAGCAAATTGCTCACCTGCGTGCAATACCCAAGGACTACGCTGAGATGTCTCCCGAGGCCACCTCCTGCACCTCGGCCAGAGAAAATGCCGTGAGTGTACTAAGGCCAATCACGGGCACAGCACTAGGAGACGAGAAAGCCCACGTAATGTGTATTTGCTCACTATTAGCTGACTGTAACACAGTGAGATAAAGCTGTAAAACAAATGTAAACCATGTAAAAGATCTGAATGTCTGTGCTTCCCCCCAAATCCATGTTGAAAGTCTAACTCCCAAGGTGACAGAGCAGAGGCAGAGCCTCTGGGAAGTGACTGAATATGGAGCCCTCATGAAGGGTTAGTGTCCTTAAGAGACTCTCAAAGAGATCTCCTCCCTTCCACCATGTGAGGTTACAGTGAGGTCCTAGGGGATGAAATGTCCCGTAACAGACACCTAATCTGCCAGCACACTGATCTCAAACCCTGGGCTCCAGAGCTGTCAGCAATGTGCTTCTATTTTTTTATCAGCCTACAGTCTATGGTATTTTATAGCATCCTGACTGGACTCAGAAAGATAAGCAATAATATATAAAAGCAGAAAAGGGGCCAGCTGGTGGCCTGATGGCTAACGTGGCTGGATCCCACATATATGACTGCATGGTTTGAGTCCTGGACCTGGTGGACTGAAAAACACACTAGATGTATGCACATGTGGGCTCAAAATCCCAAAAGGGACAAATGGAGATGCTTTCTCACCTTCCCCAGTGAGTGCACCTAATCTCTGGCAAGTTGAACAAATAAGTAAGAATAAAAGCAGAAAAGAGCAATTCATTTCAAAGGACTTTCAGACTTAAAGGAGGAGACTTTTACAAAATAACAGCACTAATATTTTGAGCACTTATTACATAAATAATGGACAATAATCTAAGGACCTCACATCTATCAACCAGTGTAATCTTAGCAATGAACTCTGAAGTAAACACTATCATCAGCTTCCTCTCTCTACAAGTTAGGTGAATGAAATAGAGAAAAGTGAAATATCTGTCCAAAGTTACACCACTATAAGTAGTACAGCCAGTATCTAAATTTGTCTGTTTGGCTCTGGAGCCTGAATTTTTAAACTACTTTTCTAAATTTCTGATTCTAAAAGACACATGACAGAAATGCTAGAGTGGAATCTGGCTGGAAATGAGTCAAGGCTGATATGAAGGGCAGGGACCAAACTGCGAAGTGCATGTGTTAAATCTTATCCTACAGACAAGCGGAGAGTTTTAAACACAGCATCCCTGTGATTAGATCTCTGTTTGAAGAAGACAGAAGAAATAATAGAGTCAATACAGGAAGAATTTTCATATAGGGAGCAGAAGCAAAACAAAACAAAATGATTAAAAACCTAATGCCACTCCTACC